ATCAATCTTTGCTTTCAAAGGCCTCCTGTAAGAGGGAGGCGTGACAGACAAAACCAGGTAAACAGGGTGACTCTCTGGAGACCCTGCAAAGAAACTGACTTCTCTTCAGTGGAGTCACGGGGGGATGAAGCATACATTAGATGCCTAAGTTAGGGTCCCATCCCAGAAAATAAGACACTTTTTCAAAAATGGTCTGGTACCTCATGTATTTTTTTAATTGAATTAGTAAATGGGTTTTTTTGCAAATTGTTGCAAGAAATGTGTGTTTTCTTTCAATTCCTTTTGAATGTCAGAATTTAGGTGAGGCTTTCTAGGTGTTAACGTACCACTAACCATGCAAAAATATGAGACAATGCCTCTTCTTGAAACACTGCGCATGCAATATTATTAATAAAAGCCATCTTTAGAGTCACACTGGAGATGGTTTGGTTTTTTTTTTTCATGTGCTCCAGGTAGGATGGCACAAAAGTATCATGTTCATTGTTGCTACTCCCAGCTTTCTTCTTCATCCTAAGACAGTCAGGAAGAAATGGATAGTGACTGACAGCAAATCCTTGTCTATCTTTTCTTTCTTTTTCTTCCTTCTTTACTGGGAGTCCTGTCTGCAGCTGGAGAAATAAAAACACTGGGAAGAACCAGTACAAAACACTTGATGTATTTTAGAAGACAGCTGGAGCTAGCCTGGTAAATGACCTGTACTTTGGCAGGTCGAGTGGAGTGTGACCAACCTAATGACCACTGTCCTATGAATCACAGTGAACTGTAACAAACACTTCACACATGCTGTTCTTGTAAGAACTGGAAAACTCGCCTAGATGTAAAAGTTCACGGGATATTACATCGCTTCTGCCCATCTGTGTTGCCTTGAGAACTGGTACCAATAACATTTAATGTCTCTGCGACTTGTAGTCCCAGGTTTCAAAAGGTTGACGGCATCAGCCTTTTCCTTGAAGGATTTAGTGGTCACTAAAACTAGACAAAGAGGTGAAATGACTGAAGGTCACCCAGCAGGTCGGTGTCAGAGCTGGGCAGAGAGCCTCCTCCTTGCATCCTGGGGCTGACCGCTGACCCAGGCACTCCGCAGAGCCTCGTTATGGTGGTGCATTTAATCAGCTTCGCTCTGTGTCGTTATTCATTGTCTGCGGTGTTATGGATATCTAAAGGGTAGGATTTTAACTTAGCAATCTGCTGTGTTATTGAATTAGTTTTATGTTGTGTTAATTTCTTTGTCTCGTGGCATTCATTGCCTGTGATAATTGATGCACAATGTATAACTGACTTCTGTATTCATTTGGGTAACTGCATTTAATTGCCTGGTATAAAATATGTGTACTAAGTACAATCTGCTGTAACTGCTATGAGTGAGGAGTGCTTATTGGTATGGACTTGAGGGTGCTTTATCTTCCTGACAACTGTCTGAGGAAAGTCTAAAAAGTGTAACATGGAATTGCTTTACGAAGTGTTTGGCATTAAAATTTTGTTAACCAGAAGCTCTCAAATAAGGAAGTTTGTATTAACATCCCTGCCCCTCCCAAACCTCAAGGAACAGCAGCACCCATAAGACTTTACATGTTTTCTCCTGTAAATCAGGATTATGGCTTTATTTGCTTCTGAAGTTACTCCCTTGGAGTAAAACTACTCCCATGCACAAGTGTTTATAAACACAGATTTCTTTTACATATACATATTCAGGTCATTAATGCCCAGAGGAGTACTAATGATTTATAAATCAGGACTGCTTTCTAAAGGTGTAATGTCAGTGAAACAGTGTTGATTAATGTCTGCTAAGGATACACAGGATTCCTGCATAAGCTTACACTTTCTTACCTGTTTAACCAGTATCACAGTGACTCCTTTTATTTTTAAGGAAAAAAGAATCTTTGCTAGTAGATGTATTTCTCATCATACACAGAACTTTGCTTTTTATATGACCTAGTGAGTAGTTTTATTTGTTTCCCTAGCTTGTTTTGTTTCCAGTGTCACGAAGGGTATAATAGTGCAGTGACTGAGCTATACAAAGAAATGCTGAAATTTGTCCAAAGCTGATTTTACTTTAAGCATTAATAAAACCTTCCCCCATCCGAATTTTCAACAGTTTTTAAACAAAAGCTAATGGTTGAGTCTAAATCAGGTGTGAAATGCCTGTGAGATTATTTTAGCCAATTATGTTGCTCTGTGTTAATGTGACCGGTGAGTTGTCGGTACAAGGGATTTTCACAATTAGCATTTTTCTTTTTAAGAGAGCTAGTTTCAACAGGCTGTGTCCTTCAGGATGTAGCATTAGTTCTGCCTACAGCTTGCTGCAAATTATTCAGTGTACATAGGTGCATTTATGCTTGTTATTCAGCTCTCTTTCGCTGACAAAATAGCCTGCAGCAGTTCTTGGTTAGATAGGACTAGTTCCACTTCAGGCTCCTCACGTGCTCTTTTGTGGTTTTTCCCCTGGTTCAGCCTGTGCTGCATCCATGTCCTGCTGATAATGTTTTATCAGACTTGATGGCCAGAGACAAAGCAAAGCTGCCCAGAGCCAGCGTGGGCTGTGAGAGTATGCTTTGAGCAAAGACTTTCATGGCACACTGGGCAGAGCTGGTGGCATAGTACAACAGGATTTTCACCAATTAACCCACTGATTCTGCTTTATTTCATATTCATGGTGTTATGTTCTTCCTCCTCTGCAAATACTTTAACAAATACTTGCGGCTAATTCATGAAAGTATACCAAAATTTGAAATATGTGGACAATCTGGTAGAACGCAAACACCAAAAAAGTCACCTATTAATTCCCAGTAGGCTGAGGTGCATTTGTCTAGCCCAGTGTCTGATTCTTTATGGACTACTTCCCATTTCTGGCAGAGCTGGTACAACTGCAATGTGGGTTTGGGGGGAAGAGAGTGTAAAGTTCAGCAGCAGACCTCGTTATGTCACCCGGCGCACACTTCACAAGGCAGTAAAACAGGGGGAGAGGGGGTGGCAGAGAGAGTCCGACACCCATTTTCTACCCCTTATCCCAATAATCCATACCTGTCTGAGATGCCTTTGCCCCAAAACCATGGGACAGCACCTCCTTCCTCCCCAGTAGTCAGGGTGATGCATTATGGGGACAAGCAACTGGCACACAGCAAGGTATGAAGAGGCATTTCATCGCTATTGGTTTTCAGACGCGCCTTCCTACATCACGGCAACAAGGCTGCCGGTCACGGGAAGAAGTGGACCACTCTCATCTGGACTATTCAGCATATATTTGTAAATCAGGATTGATTTGGGAATGATTCATAAAGAACGAGGGGGGTTGTACTGTGTGAGAAATAACTTATTGACAAGGAATAATTCAGCCAGCTCTAACCTTGAAATAGATGTTTGTGGTCAGAAGTTTATAGCCTGAGTGGAAAGAGCTAAGTACAAGTTCAAGGAGCTGAACAGGAGACACACAGTTTTTAAAAACTTTACAGAAATCTCGGGTGACTTGCCTTATGTTAGTCTCATTCCCTGCAGAGGACTTTTGTTCAATGTTTGTTTGATGTCTATAGATGTTATTTAAAAGCTAATTTTATCATAAAATTATTTTGTTATGTATCATGAATAGTGGAGATCAAGTAAGAATTGGAATTGCAAATTCAAATATTAAAAGTTGATAAATATTGGCTTTTAAATAGACCCACTAGATTTGAACAAAATGCTTTTTAACCTAGTTAAAAAGGTTATTTGAAAATTACAACATACTAAAAAATGTACAGCATTGTCTGATCTTGACTCTTGTCTTCACTTTTACAGCTATTGATGTGGTCACATTCCTATGAAGTGAGCTGTACAGTGTCAGGGAACTATAATATGAAACTTTCTGGCTTGTACTTTATGCACATTACATGAAAAAAGTGTGGGAGGTACTAAGCTAAAATATAGTATAATCACTTTAATTGTGTCTTTTCTAAGGATGAATTCTTAGGGTTTGCATGTTGGAAACCTCTTAATTAAGGTCTTTCGAGTACTTTTTTAAAGACAACACAAATATCTTAGGGCTGAACAAGTCACCGAGATGCACCTGCACAGCATTAATGACCTCCCTGAACACCTGTAAGCACTTGGTCAGTTGTTGGCCACTAGTACCAAACGCTATAGGTCAGACCCCTTAGGCTACTGGCCAGCCACAAAAATAACGCAGCCCCCCTTTGCCCACAGTCACATGTAACTAACGCACAAAGACTAACATGGGCATATATCTGTGATCATCGTCACCCCAGCGCTTCCTCCCTCTGCCGTGAGTGCTGGGAGCTCACAGCCTGTGGTCACACCTCTTACCCGTTCGCTCATTCAGCCTCCTTTCCAACTGGCAATGCGCTGAGGTGGTGAGCTTCACAAACAACAGTAACAACAGCAAGAAGTTACCCTAATGTAAAATTCATAGTCTGACAGATACCTGACGAAAGCAATGTGGTTTAGCTAGAAGCAGATACTCCACCTCTGCTTCGAGCTAACTAACCTTTGTGAGCCAAAGATACGGTGTTAGTTAAGGAGCAGGCATCATCCTCAGCTTTGTTAGGTTTTCTTACTTTTCCATGTCTCTGCAGGATCCATTCTGTAAGTCATTGTGGAGTATTCTTTTTTCCCTTTTCATCTCAGAACAGGAGACTATTTCCTTGAAACTTGCATCATCAGTTAATCGTTAACAGTTTAAAAAAAAAAATCATACTCATCCCTTAATATGTTCTTTCAGCTGATGCGTTCATGCCGAGGAGGCTGTGTAGCTACTGATAAGACCTAATTTGTGAAGGGCTTTTCAGCGGTCTGACAGGTTCATACGTGGCACTGTTTGCTCAGCAGGCAAGGATGAGCGTTCGCTGAAACACTTCTACAGTGGCCGCTAAATGCATGTAAGGAGACTGGGGCTGGTGATCCAGAGGGAGTGGGCAGGAGCTTCGAGTGGATTCCCAAAGCGGTCTGTTGTTTTGCAACTATGTTCTGACTGTGTCACTTGATAGCTGATTTCGTCTTTTCTCTTTCAGAGCCTAATGAGCTGTGTGTGGGCCCTGCGTTCGGTGATATCCCGTCTCAAGATGCTGCTAATACAGTAGTTAATTATTCGTAGCTGAAGAAGTCTAACAGGAGCAAAAGGAACTGGGGAAAAGCAATGGCTGCTGGTAAATATCTCAGGTCTGCAAAGGTCATAAGAAAATAGCTGGAAAGAGCTGATTTCAGCTGTGACTGGGGATGGAGGAAGCAAAAATGTGTGAACACACCTTGTGTTTAGGGGTTTGGTATCAGAAAGGTACCATCCCTTAGCTATCTGACCCACTCTTCCTTCCCCAACCCAGGAAAATCCATGCCTGGGCTCAGTCGATTTTGACCATATTCATGATAATTCTCTTTTGTTTTTAGAACAAAACTTGGTATTTCCCATAGTGAATCAATTTGGTTTGACCTCTTCTTAGTTAGGGGCTAATGTATTCTTAAATCTTTTACCAGAAGAAGTTGCACCTTATGGAAAACAGGTCTTTCCTTGGGGTGTGTTTGGTTCTCACAGCTTTCTGACAAGTTGCCACAGATTATATATAATTAAATTTTATCAGAGGATTGCAGGGCAATTCATTCAGGTTGGGAGCGGCCTCAGAAGGTCTCCAGTCCAACCTCCTGCTCAAAGCAAGGCCAGCCGTAGGGTCAGACCAGTTGCTTGGGGCTTTATCAACTGAGTCTTGAAAGCTGCCAAGGGTGGCGACTGCACAGCCTGTTCCACTGCTTGACTGTCCTCATGGTGAAAAAGTTTTCCATATAACCAGCCTGAATCACTCTTGTTTCTTTTTATGTCTGTTGAATGTTTCCAATGTCTTTATGTTTTACTATACAATACCAAGCACTATTGTCAATGGTCTAAAAGGTGAATCATAATTAAGAAACAAAACAAACCCAAAATAAGCAATGGTTGTGATATCTCATTTTCACTGAAGATTTTGGTTAAAAATCCTGGCACATTGACTATTCTACTTACAGTGTTTCTTTTCTTGCAGCAGCTGATGGTTTGGGAAGTATAGCTATAGATACCACACAACTTAACATGTCAGTCACTGATCCGACGGCTTGGGCTACAGCTATGAATAACCTGGGGATGGTTCCAGTAGGGCTAGCTGGACAACAGCTTGTGACAGGTAAGATTTTTCTGTTTTAAAAAAGAACTCTTGTACTGTCCATGAATTCTTCCGGGTCCTTTTAAAAATATGTGGAATGATTTCTGAGGATATTATATTTTTATATTCTGAAAACATCACCTATGATTAATATTGCATACTGTGTATCACTCTCTTCTTGTAGTAGGTATATAATCCATATTGTATTTTAACCTTGTGGAAAAGCCAAAACTCTTTGGGGAAATTAAACAACTAAACCATCAATCCTTATGCTGGGTCAAGAGCAGGAGGCAGGTCACATAAGAGAAACGTTTGTTTCTGTTTCTCTGTTCAAGCAGGATGTCTTGAGGTTCTGCCAAGGAATAAATACCCTGGGCTGAGAACTCTTGACTGGAGAAAGATTTTGAAGTTACGTTAACTGGGCAGAAAATCATGAAGCCCATTCAATTCACATGCTCAGTTGATATTAGTGAAGTGAAGCTTTCCTATCAGGTGTGTGCTTATTTACTTTCTGCCTGACTCCATAAACTGAATTTCAAGAAGTTGTTCTTGTTTGATTTTGTCATTTCACTTCCCAAACATAGTCTGGGAGAGGGTTGCAGGGGATTGTTTATTCTAACAACAATAAAAATAATATTTTGAAACCAGCAATGTTTCACAGACAAGCCTGGACATATCAGACCTCATTGTCAACAGTGGAGGCCCGATTAGTTAGGATTAATAAAACTTCATCGCTCCTGTGAGGTAGAGAAAAATTATTTTTGTATGGGTGGGTGCCCTATAGACACAAGCCACATGCCAGGCATATGACAGATCCCCTCTGGAAGCTGCATTGCCACTTCAGCTTAAGAAGAGCTGTGTGACATCTGGATCAGAGCATCATCCTGGCACGTCTGCGCCCGTCCATGTAGACATGGATGCAGTGAGCCAGGTCATGATGTAAATCACTCTGCGTGCCTCACCAGGGATGCGTGATGCTTAATTTTGGCCAAATATGTCCCCTTCTGACACTGGAACTGAGTGGAGCTGTGCCAGTTCACAGCTGACGGTCTGGCTCTGAATTACCTGTTTTACAGGCGGGTAAACTAAGCTGCAAGAAAGCTGATTTATAATGAATCAGTCTCAAGCAGAGAGTTTAGCTGGTGGAGGCTGTGAACTGATTCTTGGTCTCTGGCTTTAACCCCACGCTCCTGATTAAAAGAAACAAGCAAAGCCATGCGCTCCTCGGGAGCCAGTTCTCTTCAATGTTTTTGTCAATGATCTGGACGCAGGAGTTGAGTCCACACTAAGTTTTCTGATGATACTAGATTAGGAGGAGCCGTTGATTCCCTTGAGGGTAGAGAGGCCTAACATAGCTATCTGGATAGATTAGAGTGCTGGGCAATCACCAACCATATGATGTTTAACCAGGGCAAATGCCGGATTCTGCACCTGGGATGGTGTAATCCCGGATGTACGTGTGGGCTGGGGGACAAGAGGCTGGAGTGCAGCCCTGCAGAAAGGGATTTGGGGTTTTTGGTTGATGGGAAGCTCAATATGAGTCAACAGTGTGCCCTGGCAGCCAAAAGGGGCAACCTGGGGTGCATTAAGCACAGTGTAGCTAACCAGACAAAAGAAGTGATTGTCCCACTTCACTCAGCATTGATGCAGCCTCACCTTGAGTGCTGTGTGCGATAAGAAGGATATAAAAATATTAGGGTGTGTCCAAGGGGAGGCAACAAAGATGGTGAAAGGACTAGAGGGCAAGACTTAAGAGGAGCAGCTAAGGATACTAGGTTTGTTCAGCTTAGAGAAGAGGAGGCTGAGGGGAGACCTCATTGCTGTCTACAGTTTCCTCATGAGTGTGAGTGGAGAGGGAAGTGCTGATCTGTTCTCTCTGGTGTCTGGTGATAGGATGCGAGGGAATGGCTTAAAGCTGCATCAAGGGGTGTTCACATTGTTTATTAGGAAAAAGTTCTTCACTGTGAGGGTGGCCAAGCACTAGAACAAGCTCCTCAGGGAATTAGTCATGGCCCAAAGCCTGTTGGTGTTCAAGAAGCATTTGGACAACACTCTGATACACAGTTTAACTTTTAGGTTATCCTGTGTGGAGTCAGGAGTTGCATTCGATGATCGTCATGGGTCCCTTCCAGCTCAGGACATTTTATGATTCTATGTGCTGGTGGGGAAACAGCTTTTTCCATTTTCTGGTGGGGCATTGCCTGAAGGTGCTGCACTTAACTTGAATGCAATTACTTCCAAACCTGAAAATAGCCACATGTCAAAATCAGCTTCTGCTGCTTTCATTTATAAGCATCTCAGTTGCATATCCCGTGGAGGTTTGCCCACCTTTTTGTCTTCCTCTCTTCCACTGTCTCTCCAGTTTCAGTGTAATTTGTGTCCTCAGGTGTGCTATGCAATCCCTACATGGCAGCCTCATCTCATGTGCAACGCTTTTCCCCACAAGGGAGGATCTCCAGGACTTTATTTCATTGCCAGCTCCCTACTGTAATTTCCATAATTATGTGTACCACGTATTGTAGGAGTGTTGTACAGGTCAGTTGGTATTTGTTCAGCATTTTCAATGTATGAAAGGTGCCATAAGTAATAAATATTAATTACTGAAGTGCTGCCTTATTCTAGGGGTGCAGAATAACTTATTTTCTTTCCTTTTGCTTTCCTTTATTTGAGACTCTCATATTTTCAAGGTAAATAGGTGCTTTGACACTTCATTATATTTCCTTATGATTCATAAGTTTTTGACACATTTTCTTCATGGCAAATCCATAATGGCAAAAACACAATTTACCGTGAAAATACTTATAGACTTATTTGCTATAAGATATTTACAGTATCTGCATTCAGTGAGAGTTTGCATCACCATGTTCAACCAAATATCTAACTAGTCCTTAGCCCTTTCTGACTTTTTTCTTTTTTTTTTGGCTATTAATCCTAGTAATGAACTCATCTTTGTCAGCAGTCACATATTGCTTTTGCTACTGTCATCTGTGACATTTCTTGGAGATTAAAACAACACACCCATGTCCCAGTGCCAACTTTTTGTCTGTCTTTAAAAATTTATTTTATTCTTTTTTTCCTGCCTTGATGACAGCTGGGAAAGCAGTAAGTAGTTTAGATTAATCTTGGAGAGAGTATGATCTTTCCCGGATATCTTTACATAACCTCCCATAGTCTGAAGCTTGGTGTATGGTACTCATCTATATCCTGACATATCTCTTAGTTCTCTGATCTTTCAGTTTCCAAAGGACTTATCCATTCACAGACTTTCCTTCCCCAAACTAACCGGTTGCTAATTCCTAAATTGCGGGGCATTTTTGTTCCCGTAGGTATGGAGCCCATATAATCTACTAGGTCTTTTTAAAGGTTTTTGACAGGGTTTTTTTCCCAACTGTTGTTAACTTCGCTGCTGTGTAACATGCTGGGATGCCTGCCTTCTAACAGAGTTATGCTCCCCACTTTGCAATCTGTGAAGCTCTTGCCTAGCCCGCGAGTTTGTTCAAATGACAACTAAAGCTTCCATAACATCTGGCCAATACTCTTCTCACAGCCTGGGATGCAGGCTGTCTGGTCTTGGTAACTAATCACTTTTAAGCACTGCTAACCTTTTAATACCAGTTTAGATGATATCTGCACTCTATTTAATTCCTTATCTCCCAGTGCTGTAAAATTGGATTTTTGATCTGGGCAAATGTCAGAGCCTTTCATTTGTAAAGATGGATTCTTGTTAATAGTTGTATAATATCTCTTCTGTTTCTAAATATATTTTGCTTACACTTACTGTTATTCAGAAAGCTTACCTTTTTCCATAATATTTGGTTACTGAATTACATGTACACTAATATATGCATTTATACATTATATATACATAATTCATACAATAAACTGTAGTTTAATAATGCATTAGTTAAAGTGTTAAAGATTGATGTGCAATAGTTATGGCTGAAAAGCACTTTCATTCTAAACCTCACCTTTCAGCAGGTTATAATTTTTTCCAAAAAATTGCCTTTTGGGCTGAAATTTCTCACGGTTGGTCTCAGCCCAGAGTAAAAAAAAATCAGGAAAGGTGGGAGAAAATCTGCTAAACTGCTTTTAAATTATCCAGGCCTTAAAATTGCTGTTTTCTATGCTTTGAGACTTTGAGAAAAATGGTCAGGTGAGAGGGGAAGGATAGTTTGTACTCCACCTTTTTGAGATCTGAATCCTCTTTGTGCACTCAGCAACTCTGATTCAAGCACATCTTTCAAGTACATTCAAGACTGCTGTTTTGTTACAATTTAGGATTAGCAGAAAAACTCAGTGACCTCAGGCCAACTGAGAATGTTTTATTTTGATTTTGCATTGGTACTTTTTAAAGGCAATTTTGTCATTGCTGAATGTAGTGTTCTTATGCTGTCATTTGTTTCAGCAAATGGCATCAGGTGACCTGTTTTCTAAAGGAAGACATCCTGCCAGGAAAATTATTTACTTCTTCAGTTCAGTTTAGTTCTCCTTTCACTAATGAAACATTGCCCTGAAAAACATGAAGCAATTTTGAGATGCTTTTCTCCAGAATGACTTAGATGACCTAAACATTTGTTAGTCAAAAACGGTATATGTCAAAAAGTTCCCTGGTACAAATGAACATGAAGAGTGGTACATAAGTGGTAATTCGTTTAGACTTAGTTAAGCTCATGCCCTGTGCTGCATATTTGTACTCTGACAGAAAAAAAATAGCAAACTACAAGGGCAGACATCCAAGACGAAAGTTATAGATCTGCCTAGAAGTCAAGGGTATGCCTGAAAACTGATGCCTTCTACTTATTTACAGGATAATTATTAAGGCACACTTTTCTATGTGAGTCCAGCCAACATGCCTCAGCCTCAAGATACTAAAATTTTCAGTGGCCTCCAGTCTTGTTTTTGCTGTTAGACTTTGACCACTTGTACAAAATCCTAGTGAAATCAGAGACCAGGAAGCTTTGAAGCCTAACATCTTGCTTACCAAAAGGTATAGAAAAATCATACACTATTTTTGTGGCCTT